GTGCTTTATAAGTACTAATAATCAGCCAATATGCTAGTAATATGCATGCTAATACGATACTAGTTAATTGTGAGAATTGGCCCTTAAAAGAAATTGTTACCATTTTTATTATCAATGTTAAAACAGTTTTTGCTGCTTAATATTTTTGTGGAAACGGTGATATTTTTTTTCTGGTTTATTTGATGAATGGAAAGTTCAAAGGAACAGTTTTTCAAATGAAAAATTTTCATCATTATTACTTCAGTTTTCAGTTTCACATGATCTTTCAGAAAGCATTCTAATATGCTGATTTGTTGCTCAAGAAACATTAATGATAATAATAATAATAATAATGATAATTGTTATGTTAAAACAGTTTTTTCTGCTTGTGGAAACTGTGGAAACTGATAGTTTTTCTTTTAGGTTTATTTGATGAATAGAAAGTTCAAAAGAACAGGAAATATAAAAAATATAAATCTTTTGTGACATTAGAAACATTTACAGCCACTTATGAATATTTTAATGCACCTTTGCTGAATAAAAGTATTTATATTCTAAAAGTTATTAATATATACAGGTGCATCTCAAAAATTATAATATTGTGAAAAAGTTCTTTTTTTTTGTAACTTATTTCAAAAAGTGAAACTTTCATATATTCTAAATTCATTAGTTTTAATTGATTTAATTGATTAGAGCTTACAGCTCATGAAAGTCAAAAATCCAGTATCTCAAAATATTAGATTTGAGTTTCTTGAGTTTCAATAAATGATCATCCCTACAGTATAAATTCCAGGTATCTCTTGTTCTTCGAAACCACAATAATGAGGAAGACCGCTGACTTGGCAGTGGTCCAGAAGACGATCATTGACACCCTCCACAAAGAGGGTAAGTCACAGAAGGTCATTACTGAAAGTCAAGGGGTGGCTGTTCACAGAGTGCTGTATCAAAGCATATTAAATGCAAAGTTGACCGGAAGGAAGAAATTAGGTAGTAAAAGGTGCACAAGCAACAGGGATGACCGCAAGCTTGAGAATACTGTCAAGCAAAGCCGATTCAAACACTTGGGAGAACTTCACAAGGAGTGGACTGAAACTGGAGTCAGTGCATCAAGAGTCACCACACTCACGTCTTCAGGAAAAGGGCTACCAAGCCACTTCTGAAACAGAAACAACGTCAGAAGCATCTTACCTGGGCTAAGGAGAAAAAGAACTGGACTGTTGCTCAGTGGTCCAAAGTCCTCTTTTCAGATAAAAGTCAATTTTGCATTTCATTTGGAAATAGAGATCTGGAGTCTGGAGGAAGAGTGGAGAGACACAGGATCCAAGCTGCTTGAATTCCAGTGTGAAGTTTCCGAAGTCAGTGATGATTTGGGGTGCCGTGACGTCTGCTGGTGTTGCTCTATTGTGTTTTATCAAGTCCAGAGTCAAGCTCTAATCATCAAAATTAAAACAAAAAAACTTTTGAAATGTTTTTCTTTACATGTAATGAATCTAGAATAGGGCTGGGCGATATGGCCAAAAAAATTATCACGATATTTTTTTTCATATCAGTCGATATCGATAATTATCACGATAAATGTCATATCTTTATTTCTTATCTGTAAAAATTGTAGCAACCTCAGTTTTATATGGTTACATTTATTCTGACCGTTTTTTTTTTTTTAATTAAACATTGGTCTTCCATAGTAGCATACATTTAAATCATGTTAAACAGTTAAAACCACACGTTGTGTTCATCACTGAGTTCAAGCGCTTCACACTGGATCTCACAGCGCTGCTTAGAGCTCGCGGCCGTTTTGAACATTGGTCCGAGCAGATAAATGGTCCGTGTGGCGCGATTCAAATGTGTCGCGCTGTTTCGTTCCGCTTTTGGCGCATAAACGTTATATTGAACATTTATCGAACTCTTCTTATCGTTTTATCGAGGATTTAAATGTAAATATCGGCATCGGCCCGATATGAAAAATTATGCAGATCTGTCTTGCCGATAAAAGGAATACATTAACTCACATGTGCTCAGGGTGTGCTAGTGATTAGATCACGTCAGCAGTGTGGCTCATTCTTGAAGCAAAGTTTTGTCTGAATGATGATTAGATTCACTGTTTTGGATCGCTGCATTTAATCTGTGAAAGCACATACAGAATGACGCGTTCGGTGTATGATAGAGTAAACAGTAATAGCATAAGCTCTAAAATATTTTCAGAATTTGAAAATTTCAGAACTCTTTTGCTTTAGACCATCTACAAATGTTAAATCTTAAAATAAAATGTTAGGGTTAACACTGCATCTTTCTGGGGATAAAAATGCAGCGATTGATATATAGTTTATTTATAATTTTCAAAGCTTCGAGACTTGGTGTTGTTTCCAAACAAAAGGAAATATATCGTTATCGGCCAAAATGAGTTGAAAAATATCGGCATATTGGATATCGGCAAAAATCCAATATCGTGCATCCCTAGTATAAATTATTTGGAATATTTATTTGTGTTATCTGTATATTGTATTATTATGGTCATTGGCCACCCTGTTACTTAGATATCAGTATTAATATTTGACATTGACAGAAAAAAAATATGAAGAATATATCTCCTCACATTGGCAATTTCAATCTACATGCTCCAAATGAACTAGGCAATGACTAATTCCCTCTACTAAACGAGCCTGTTTGGGGTTATTCATGTTATCTTTTCCTCTCTCTCCTGGTATCTTTCAGATGGTAGAGCTTGATGAGTCGACTCTCATCCAGCTGTCCCTCTCGAGTGAAGTGGCGCGGAAAGTCCTCCACTACCTGAAACAGAATTTGCAGGCGTCTTGTCTGGGTGACCTGCACTGCTCCCACACTTTCACCAAGCACTACCTGAACTGTGGAGGTGCCAGCCTCGAGGATGAGGAAATGCTGATGGATAGCTCGCTCGGAGGCCAAGGAGCTTCATCTTCTTCATCGTTGTCCTCCGCTACGGCATCGTCCTCTTCCTCAGCCTCTTCCTGCACCATGGGCTCTGTGTCCAAGAAAGCTAAGAAAGAGATCCCAGCAGACACGGGCAGCGAGACAGAAAGTGAACTTCCCACTGAAGATGACACAAAGTATCCTGATGACCTGGAGGAGAAGATGAAAGGCAAGCCTTTGTTTTATACATTGCTCTCCTGTGGATGTGACTGTTAGTGGAACTCCTTGTTTTGTTCATAATGCTATATTTTCTGAGCAAACAAGAACTTGTCTTTAAAGGAGTGTTGTTAGGCTGAGTTCAGAGTTCAGCTGATTGCCATCACCGATGTGCATATTTATATTGGTAGAGCTGTATGATTTCTACAAACTGCATGCAGAATTGTGGAATCCAGTCATAAAAATTGAATTTATAGTATAATACAGAATCGTACAGAATTTGGCAAAGTTTAGGATGAATAAATCAGAAGTAGGACTGCACACTTAATCAGATCGATATGGACTATTGTCTGTAAATATTAAACTGCATAGACTGCTATTTAAATATGAAATATGCATGTCTGTGTGAACGAGTGGCATAGTTTTGTCTACTGCACATAATCCGACATGGTGCATGGTGTTTAAAACACTTTCAAGCAATTTTCACATCATTTTTAGTTCACGTTTTAATTTAAACAGTAGTTGTGCAGTGCTTTGTTTGCCAAAAAAAATAAAGGAATTGTTCAATTTTGATAAATTTGTATTAAATCAGAAAACAGAGTCAAGAAAAAATGACACCGACTTTAGGAAAAATTTAAAAAGATTTCATAGGGTGTTATATTGGCTATTTTACAGTGACTCATCTGATCAGAATTTAGACTCAAAAGTATACATTTTGCACTTGTACATTTGCATTCATTCATTTAACAGATACTTTTATCCAACATGACTTTTGCTGAATGACATGATTATTGATGCACTAGATTTTTCCCCTCTGCAACAGGAAATGATGCATTTCACAGAATGTGTTCTGAGCATTAGGCAGCAAAAGGTTTTGGCTGATAACTGTTTGTAATGTAGCTAATAAGTGTTTTTCATATGGGGTGTTTCAATCGTCCATTGGGCAGCATTTCAGTTCTCAGGATTTGATTTCCATTTACTTTGATGACTGATATTTGCATAGTTATATTTGCATACTGAATTGAAAATAGTCTGTCTTCCTTAAATATAGTTAACCATTTGCAACTGCCTTTACACTTCACAGTGAGAAAATGTTGCATTTAATAATAAAAAAAAAAAACTGTGATAGATCCATCCTGACCAGTGCTAAGAATAGTGCCTCCATGTGTAAATTCAGCAGACGGTTAGCAGATGATTTATCAGACATGACAAATCTTTAAAAAAAATTAAATAAGAGTAGTATATGTCCAGTTAAAGATAATTTTTCATGCTAATTGCTATTCTGAGTGTTGTAAAATTCTCTGAACAAAATACGGCCACATCCATCCAGCAACATGTATTTCATCGAGCCATCAGTTTCCTTGTAAAATTGTTTATTCGATAAAAGCAGTGAAGTGTTTAGAGCAAGTAGATGTACATTTCTTCCTCTAAGCAAGTGTTTTCTGTTCTCTGCAGTGTTCAACAGTCCGAAGGTGCAGGGTAAGAAGAGCTCCATAGAGAAGATGGGGGAGGTGGTGGACATCATGAAGAAGAGCAGCTCAGACTCAGGACTGCAGCTGGCTGGTATGAAGGTCATCAGTAAGATTCTGGAGGAGGAGGGACCTCAGGAGAGAAGCAGCCTCAGATCAGACTCTGCACAAACCATCCGGTGAGACTCACTGTCTACTCTCAGCTCGGCGTTTTCTTATGTTGATTTCAATAACTGCAATTGAATGTCTTTCTGAATTACGCTTAAAGGGTTAGTTCACCAAAAAATGAAAATTAGCCCATTATTTACTCACCCTCAAGCCATCCTAGGCGTATATGACTTCCTTCTTTCAAGTCCAAAGGAAGTGAAATAAAGCGCATCCATACATAATAAAAAGTGCCTCACACGGCTCCGGGGGGTGAACAAAGGCCTCCTGTAGCGAATCGATGCGTTTTTGTAAGAAAAATATCCATATTCATAACGTAATAATCACTTTAATCTAGCTTGCGCCAACAGTTGTACACGGAAGCAGCTCCGGGCAGATGACATAAGATGTCGGCGTTGCGCATGTGCCGGTGAGTCTCGTGAAAACCTTCGTTTGTTTACAGGAGCAAAGGAAGCAAAGTCTCCTTTTGGCTTATATCGAAATCCTCCGACATTCTTCTTTACAAATCCTCGTTTTGTACTTCTAATTCATGACCATTGTTTTGTTTTGATCTCTCCCCTGCGCTTCCACTTTCGTCACTTCTGAGCGGCGCATGCGCAAAGCTTTCACTTCTTTTGGACTGATGAACTGCAACACCCGCTGACTGCCATTAAACAGCTTGGAAGATCAAAGACAATTTTTTTATATAACTCCAACTGGATTTGTCTGAAAGAAGAAAGTCATATACACCTAGGATGCCTTGAGGGTGAGTAATTCATGGGCTAATTTTAATTTTTGCGTGAACTAACCCTTTAATTTAAACATCAATATTACAGGGGCTAAGAAAACATATACCACTCGTAGATCACTCTGTTTATCGATGGACCCTTTCCAAATTTCTGGGGGTTTTAGAAGCAGAAGTTATAAGTAATATAACACACAACATTGTGTTATAGATGTGCATTTAAAGGGTTAGTTCACCCAAAAATGAAAATTCTGTCATTAATTACTCACCCTCATGTCGTTCTAAACCCGTAAGACCTCCGTTCATCTTCGGAACACAAAATATTTTTGATGAATTCTGAGAGCAGCTGAGAGCGTGACGCAGCTGACACAGAATAGCATACGCTGTTTACATTCAGTGGATACTCTCCAAAATGGCGCTACGGTGACGCGGAGGAGACGAATTGTTGAATGAAGTCGTTATTTTTGTTTTCTTTGCGTACAAAAAGTATTCTCGTAGCTTTGTAAAATTACGGTTGAACCCCTGAGGTCACATGGATTATTTTAATGATCTCCTTGCTACGTTTCTGGACCTTGATCATTGTAATTACATTGCTGTCTATGGGAGGGACAGAGAGCACTCAGAATTCATAAAAAAATATCTTAAATTGTGTTCCGAAGATGAACGGAGGTCTTACGGGTTTGGAACGACATGAGGGTAATTAATGACAGAATTTAAATTTTTGGGTGAACTATCCCTTTAATTAAAAAAAAAAAAGCCTTTGCTAGATTTACACTTTTAATAACTATAGAAACAGTCTGTGAAAAGAGTTGCCTTTGCCTACATGCAATGCATAATACATTACGTTCCATAAAAAGTAAATGTTACCTGAGGTAACCTTTATTAGGTCCCACTTTATATTAAGTGGCCTTAACTACTATGTACTTTTAAATTAATCATTTGGTACAATGCTCTTATTGCGTAATTACATGTATAATTACACTGTTGACCCATCCCTTACACCTTAACCAACCTTAAACCTACCCATACCACCAAACCTGTCCCTAACCTTACCTGTATCCCACCTCATTAGCAGCAAATGTGTTTTGCAATACAATATGACCACAATAAGTACATTGTACTTAATTTTTGATGTAAGTACATAGTAGCTAAGGCCACTTAATATAAAGCGGAACCCTTTATTTTAAGGTGTCTTTGTTACACGTTACATGTACTTATTATTATAATAACAATAAATTATGCTTAATTACATGCAAGTAACCCTAAACCAAACCCTAACCATATAGTAAGTAGTACATGTATTTAAAATAATATTACTCAGTACTGAAATGTATAGTTACACTGTAACAAGGACACCTTAAAATAAAATGTAACCGTTACATGATTACTAGGTTATATTAAAAAAAATATATATATGGCTGCAAGGTGAATTGTATTTTAATAGTGATCACGATTTTATTTATCCACTGGTTATTTATCCTGAAACATTTAATTATAATTTGGCATTTGCATTATCTTGCATTGGTAACAAGCCTCCGCAAGTTTTCATGGTTGCCTCATTTCAATCGTTTAAATCCCCCAATCAGAGTTTTTTTTCTTAAATCAATGCATTATCTGCCCAGTGGTTTACTTAATCTTCCTAACCTGGAAACTATGTGCATAGTAGGGCTGTCAAAAGAAAATGTGAATTTCGAATATTCGTCGAATTTAAAATAAAAATCCACATTCGAATGCAAAAACGCTGCATTCGACTTTTAGGTGTGCGTTAAGGAGGCAGCCTTATCAGCGGCGCACGAGATGCGATGACGATGTAGGTGTCATTGCATTATAATGTTTTTGTTGGCCTGTCCAGTTGAAGCCGCTAGATGCGGCGCTGCTCCGTTGTTCATTAAAAATATAGCGGAAAAAGAGAACATCAATGTGGAGAAGATTTTGTTTACATCAAAACCGAATCCAAGCCGTTCACACATCACACAAAAGAGCCGCATGTTTAGAAAGCCATGTAAAATTAATGCGTTTAACTTTAAGTTTAACTTTGAAAAAAACATATATCGAGACATATATCGAGACCCATCCCACTGCATCTCATGTTTTTAAATGAAAAATGTACTCCGTGTGATTGGCTTTCCGCCCTTTGTATTAAACTATGCATACATACATGATGCTGTTTTGTTTATAGTTGTTTAAGCAACTTATTTATAATTGGTTTATAAACATTATTTGAAACATTATGCACTTTTTTTCCGCAGATAGTCATGTTATCTTATGCTTTGAATGATGCGCCCTCTTGTGGCCTCAGGAGAGAAAACAAAAGCTTTTCTTCACCCTAACTGAAATTATGCATTTTAAATTCGAATATAATTCGAATTTTGATAATATTTAAGTACAAAATTCAAATTTAGTTTTTCTGCCATTTTGACAGCTCTAGTGCATAGACACTCTACATTATGGAAAAAGCACTGATGAGCTGAAAACGCCTGCAAACTTGTAGTTTAGAATTTAGCGATCTCTATTGATACATTCTGTGCAAATAAAAGTATAACACAGACAGTCCGTTTTCTTTCATGTGGTTGTTTGCGCTGTTTGCTGACTAAATCTGTGAGCAAACCATGCAAGTTAGCGTTCTCTTGATTTGTGCTTGTTTAAATGCAGTAATTCTGATGAAATGTAAAAAAATGTTAGTCAATAATCGTGATCTACCATTTAAACTTTGTGCAGCCCTAAAGTACCGTAAAGGAACATGATTTGTAGTTTGTATTGTAAATAGTTTTAAAATAACTTTCTTGTCTTTTTCAGTGACAAAGTCTTAAAGATGTTGGTGGAGATGATTGGCAGTCAGCCCAAGCAGAACGCTGTCACTGCGCTGCTGCTGACCCGCAGTCTAATGCTGAAATACGAGTGGAGGGTCTCATTCGCCACAGAGGGGGGTGTTAAAGCCATCCTGAGCTGCATGCAGGAGTATACTACCTGTATACAGGTGCAGCAGATTGCGCTGGCGGTGAGTGAGGATTTCTGTGAACTGAATTCTTATGTCTTCAAGGGCATGAGGTTTATGAGTTTCTACTGTCCAGAATTTCACTGTTCATCCAGTCATATAAAACCAAAGTTACTGAATCAGTGTGATTAGAACATTAATGAACATCATAATTGTTTTTGGTCAAGTATGAGGGTTGCTGTTTAAAAAAGTAAGAAGAAAGAAAGAAATTTAGACTCTCAATAAGAAAAGACATGTTAATTGACTTCTTAAAGTCCCCCTGTAGTCAAACATGTCATCCCTTAAAACACATCTTTGATCATCAAAATTACATATTTAAATGTTTTTTCTTGTGAAAATAATTTTTCATGCCTTAAAATAGCTTTAATAGTAACTCTACACCCTTACCTCATTTACTATACGCGGATCTATGAATACGCAAATTAGCCCCGCCTCCACTCAGTCACACCAGCCATGGTCTCCTGATTCACGGATAATGACGGATAAAACTGTTTTTTACTAGCGGACAACTACAGTGGATACTGTAACATTCGTTAAAGTTACTTACTTGACGATGTTGTGTCCTCAACATGCCTTGAAGACTCGAATGCAGCAAAGTTTGTGATTCTTAAAGGTCACGAAGTAACACATTTGCATAATGTCTGCCCACATTCTACATTGCCAACTTGCCCGCCCACAAACATTTAAAATTTTCGTGTGGTTAACATCATGTTGAGAAGACGCTGTATCCTCTACGCTGTGAGAGTAAATTTGTTTTATTACGTCTTATTACCACAAACTTGTTAACACTTGACACTTACCACTGAGAAACGTCTTGCTCCAGTCGTGCTTGCGAATCAGTCTCTTGTCGATCAGCTAGTTCAACCGTTTCATCATCAGACTCCGGCTCGAATAAAGAATCATATCAACTTGTGCAAAATGAGCATCCGATGACCCCTTTAAAAATGGCATAATAGGGGCACTTTAATTCGCGCCCGCGAACAATGCGTGTGAAGTGCGGACGCCAATGCGGCGGGAGAGGTGGGTCTGACTCCGGGCTACTTTTACACTGTTGCCGTGGGTTATTATTTAAGTTAGCGGTTCTAAATTCACGTTAAACCACGGCTTCATGGGTTTTTGCTTTATTTTATTTTTGGTTTTGTGCTGGTATATTTTGCATGCGATCTCTATGCTATGATCTCTACGCGCGCAGTGTTTGTATAAATGGAGAGAGGGATGTGCTAATGATAGGAATCTATCCCTTGACGTGATTGGTTATTGAATTTTGCGACGTAGCAAACCGAGGGCTGTTTCAAACCGCATTTCTGGGACTTGGGGAAACTGCAGTTTTGAGAAAATACTCAGCAATGGTGTTGATTACTGGATTGGCACATGGTTTGTCTAAAAGCAAATTAAAAAAAAGCACATAAACAAATAAACAACATGAACTTGATTTTCACAACAGGGGGACTTTAACCACTGTGCGTCAATTTAAAAAAGTTACAATGAGGTCCTTAGAGGTCAAGAATGTCCATTAAAATGGTCATAAAAATATTATATATATTATATTTTTTCCGCTTTCACTGGCATAGATCTTTTTATCAACATCAGTCCTGATCATAACTTATAAAAATGTATTAATTTTCAAGATTTTAACCCTTTAAATGCCAGTTTGTGCACTTAATGCCACACAAAAAAATGATTATTTTCTGTATACTAAATGCAAAGCATTTGGATTATTATAGTCCTGAATATGTCAATGATTAGCAACAACCTTAATTTTGATGCATTTTTTTTTTTTTTGTGCAGCAATCCTTTACATTGCGAGTAAATCACTTTTTGCTTAAATAGCACGGAGAAGCTCTCTCCTCCACATCACGAGTAGACACGCCCCTTATTGCTGATTGGCTACAAGTTTGTTTTGCTATTCGGCCCGAATCAGTTTTCTAAAGTGTTTTTGAAAAATCACATACCCTGCTTTTAAATATTGTGGTTTTAATGGGGACGTTTTTGTCCTTAATGTCCTGAGTGTAGCTGTTTTTTTGTTACTAGTGTAAAATAGATTTATGAAAGCAAATGAGGGTGAAATATTAAAATTCCAATAAAAATTCACATTTCTGAAAAAAACGTATGCTGTTTGAATATAAACTACGATTTAGTCAGTTTTTCTATAAAAAAAAATAAATAAAAAAGACAAAATTGTCCCTAAGGATACCCATGTGTTAAGTATTGTTAACTAGAATTGGGGCCAGAATTATTGAATTCTTTACAATTCTATTCCTTTTTTAAATCATATTGTCAGTACATTTCAAGTGTACATTTGAAGGATGCTATTGAAATAAAAATGAATTGCTTTCTCCAGACTCTGAAGGTCATCACAGGTGCCAGTAAACATGACCCTCGCAGTGTAGGTGGCTGTCTGCCCCTTTCTGAGTCTGGCACTCAGATGATGCTAGAGATTTTTGCGAGCATAGGCTCTGCTACACCTGAAGGCTCCAAAGGGCTCCTGTGTACCATCCCTTCTGCCATTGACCTCATGCTCAGCACGGCAGGGTAAGAAGCTTGAAGTCTGCTTTAGATGTAGCATCTTTGTTTGCTGAATTCACATTCATTTTTCTACTGTGGTTTGAACAGTTGCGGTTTGTCCGTGCGGAACGGGCTGCTGGTCATCATCATGCTGATTTCCAGCCACAAGAGCCTGGCAGAGCAGCTAGTCGCCTGCAATGTCAGTGCCACGCTAAAGAAGTGCCTTTCTGCTCAGAATCAACACAGCATGCTGGCTATTATCGCCCTCAACCACATCTCCATGGTTCACAAACTGGAGAAAAAAGGTACCATCATGCGTTATTTTAACTGCTTGCCAAATTGAACTTCTTTTAGGTGCTTTTAAAAAGCCCTGCGTTTGTAAAGGCATTGGGCTAAAATATATAGTCATCTCCAACACACTGATTTCTGCACTTCTGTAATAAACAGTATGTTAATAAAGCAATGCACATTCATTCTTGACTTGGATTACACGTGTTAGTACCTCATTTGAAGTCACACGCAGCTCTGTTCGCCTCTGTAGAGTCTCAAGATGAGCATGACTTTAAGGACACAGAGCTGAAGATGTTGGTGGTGAGTCTGAAGGAAATGCCAGCCACTAAAGAGGTTATACTGACCCTGGAGCAGCTGCTCTGTGACGACGCCTCCCAGCTGGAGGAAGAGAGAAGCGAGGTAACGCGCAGCAGAGACACCTTCCAGGACCTCATCCGCCTCATGGACCAGCACAGAGCGGATCGGGCTGCACAGCTGTCCATCCTGAGGTGAGCCCTTGACTTATTTAGGTAATAAATAGTTAACAGCTATTTCAAGCTACTTTGAGGTAGATGTACTCACAAAAACATGTCTAGGACACATTTGACCCTCAAATCCAAAGAGTTGTAAAAAAAAAAAAAAACAATTTGTGCGCAACTACCTCAAAGTACCTTGAAAATATATATATATACCGTGTGTATATATATATATATATATATATATATACAGCACAGTATTTCAGGCACAAATAGACGCAGAAGTGAACAGAATTCAGTGTTCACGTGCATCTGCGTGGCTCTCACTGTGTCTACACCGGACGCGAGTGGCGCGACGTGACAAAATACAATAGAACCCATTATAATCAGTGATGCTGTGTGACTGACTACACTGGATGCGGTGCAACACAACAAATCCCCGACAGTAAACTGATGCCTCGTTCTCTTTATGACGTACTGACACAAAATTCAAATGATTGGCAACGGTCGCTTTGTCGCGTCCAGTGTCCTTCGATGTGACTATCGCGGATGCGCACATCTCGATATCGATGCTGAAACGATATATAGTGCAGCCCTAGTTTGGAATGACATCTTGGAAAACTAAATTTTTTTTTACTCTTCAAACTACTTAGTCTTGATTTCAATATTGTATTGTTGATTTCGTGACTGTACTGATTATATTGTTTTATTTGCTAATAATATATTTACTATTTCATACTCCACAGGATTTTGAACAAGTTTTTGGATAACTACCAGGAGGATCTGTTGCCGTGGCATGAGAGTATTGAGCCTTGCCTGTCATCTATGACGGCCTTTGTCAGTGACAGAGAGGTACTTTCCCTTCATTTAGCTTTAGAAGGTCATGGTTTCATAATGCTAGTATTTAATTCCTCTTTATCCCCACTTAGGTCGTACAGCAGTTTATCCGCTTCTTATATCGACTTGCATCTCTGAATAAAGACTATGCTGTTGTGATGTGTCGGCTGGGCACCAAAGAGGCTCTTATCAAAGCCGTGGACAAACACAGCACCAGCTTGCTCATGGTCACAGAGCTGCGGGACCTGATCAACGACTGTGAGAAGTACGCCAGCCTCTACAAGAAAATGACCACCAGTGTGCTGGCTGGATGTATACAGGTAAAGGGTGGCCTGTTCAAAAATAAATATTTTCAAAATCAACTAGTCTGAGTTGCCTGAACAAGCCTTGTATAATTAGGCTGGTTTCTGGGTCACGTGACCTCGAACAGACTTGTTCCTTAGAAGTCTTTTACATAAACATTTAGGTGGAGCTTAACAAAGCAGGTTTTATTGGATGGTTCATACCTAGAATGGTTTAATGGTTTGTTAGACGATCAGAATAATTAATAGACATGTTCACTTAATTACACACTCCATATCTGTATCTTTAGATGGTCCTTGGTCAGATTGAAGAGCATCGTCGCAGCCATCAGCCCATCAATATTCCTTTTTTTGATGTGTTCCTGCGGAACTTGTGCCAAGGTATGTTCATAAAACACTTGTAAAAAGTATAATTGTTAAAGCAATAATTCACCCCAAAGTTAAATTCATTATTCACTCATTTGAATCTTATGTCTCATTTATTTCATCCGATGGATAGAACCAAGACCTGCCCTTCATATTTTGTTGTTCAATAATTCGTTAAACACGGATGTATGATACAATGCGGAAGAAAAGATCTGTAGCTACTTCCCTTTCATCATGACTTCAAAGTTTTCTGAAATCATGAGATAGCTTTGTGTGAGAATCATCATCCACATTGTTGTATGGAAAAAAATATCTCCTTTTGTACCTACTAAAATTAAATAATTTGAACTATATGTACTAACAATGTAATAATCAAATTTTATGTTTGGGTGAAATATTCATTTAAAAATATGCATTTAAGAACATATTTGCTTAAGAACAACCGTGCTTTGTTACTAGCAAAGGTTTAGGTATAACTAACAGTTACCAAACGTTTTCGTTGATTTGAGTGTGATGTTCTCCAGGCTCCAGTGTGGAACTGAAAGAGGACAAATGCTGGGAGAAGGTGGAGGTCTCCTCCAATCACCATCGAGCTAACAAGCTGACAGACAAAAACCCCAAAACCTACTGGGAATCCAATGGCTGTACCGGCTCCCATTTTATCAACATTTACATGCATAAAGGGGTGATCATCAGGTATGCGGGCCTATCTACTCTTTATTTAGTGAATGCTGCTAAAATAAACTCTAGATTATCATTACAGCAACAGCTAATCGGTGCTGGAAATGAATGCCTCATAATAAAGCTAAAGGGACCAAAAAATCCCCTAAATTAGTTTTTTTTTTTTTATGCATGACATAGTTAAGCAGTAAGCACACAAGCAAATGTGCTGTTTTCCCGAATATCAGCATAATTGTGTAAAAAGCAAAATGTGTTTTTTTAAGTTAAAAACTTTGTTAAACTTTAGTCGCAGTATTGTCAATATTTTCTTTTTTGCTCCGTTTTAGTTAGTAAAATATAGTAGGTAGTAGGGCTGTGCGATTAATCGAAATCGTCATAAAATCGCAATTTGAGCATGCGCGATTTCTAAATCGCATTATAGCACGATTTTCCACGCCCCCGACCTCCCGCAGTATGCTATCCGAACCAATCAGAATGCAGCGCGCCTAAATGGAGCACGAGAACAGAACAGGCCGGGCGGGCATACAAACGTAGCGTCAGGTTCACACACTCCGTCTGTGGTGCGTATTTTTTCCGCGCCCATGTTAACGGATCAGAGCGTTCACACTGCACGCGATTGCGCTCCGGCAGTGCGCTCCGATAGTTTCCGCACTGAGTCTATTTCTGCTGTGCTGCAACCGCTGAAAGTGACAGCGCATTATTCGCAGTAAAAAATAACATGGATTGGCATGGAAATTTAGTAATTACACCATAAATGCATATAATTAAAGTCTACTGTTTCACAGTCAACACATGGCTTTTTGGCTAGATTTAAACCAAATAAAAGTGCACTTTTAGATAAACAAGGCAATATGGGAAGCTCTCATCCCCCCCATCGTACAGAGCATCACTATCTCAGGTAACCAGCACTTACCTGTGACTGACGTCTGGTCCAATTTCCAGCTTGTTCTGGCCAAGTACCACCCATAATGTTCTTTTTAGCAGCATCATATGACCCCTTTAATGCTGAAAAACTAATTATGGCGACAAACATCTGAAAAGTGCTTTTATCAATCCGGTATCTCCAGTTTTACGTGCCGTATGAACTGGGTGGTCCATTTCGATTGAATTTCTGATCATCTTCTTTATAACAGAGACTTCTACTCTCAGCCCTCTGTCCTGGTTGATGAGCGAATATTTGGAGAACACTGAATCCTCCAAGAGATGCAAGAGCTCAGCCTCCATCTTCAACTCCCGTGTGCGGCGTCTCACTCATTTGCTTGTCCATGTGGACACCAGCACAGTTGATACGGAAGAGCTCAAACCTCCCATCAAATCCAGTGAGTGCCTTCAAAACGATAAAAACTACAATACTTCATTCTAGAGACTGGAGTGCCACTACTGTGGAGTACTTTTAAATATACATGAGGCATATTTGTTAGTTTCATGATCCTATTTAAGTCTTTTCTGGTAAGCCAGAGAACAGGTGTGCTGTTTTTAAACCACCTACTGTAGATTGTGTTAAATGAAGGCTTCTGTATTTCAAGGTATTTTTCTTGTTTTCAGAAGGTATCAACAGAAGCAGAGATTTGAAGAGTAAGTAATAGTGTAGATGCTAATGTTATTTTATTTTGACTTCATTTTGTGTACATCCATCTGCTCAGCTGAACTCCAAACTAACCACGACAATGCCTTTTATTTATTTATTTATTTTTATTTTTATTTTTTTCATTAATTCAGTTCCGCTGTCTTTAAATCTGTTTTTGAATTGTTCTGGCTTCCCATTTAAATCGCTGGTAGGGCTGCACGATTTGATAATTTACGACTGCAATTTGAGAAACATTTAATAGTATTTCTGTTGCTTGGATAACAGAATATCTAGAAAAAAGCATAAACCATATTGAAAAAGCAGCTTTCATGCTAATAAGTAGGTTGAAAAACTGCAAATTGTTAATTTTTCATGGCCTTTTATCTCCAAAATGATTTTGTTTTGTCCATGTTCTGCAGCCAGTGCGAAGAGTTCACACTTGAGTCCTTGTTACAAGAACCAAACTCAAACTTGAAAATCAAATCCAGTGAAAATGAACTGTTCTCTTTGTTTTCACATTGAAGCCAAAACTTGAAAGTGAATTTCTATCTGGTCCACTTTAGTCTCTGTTTTATTTATTTATTTATTTATTCCCCCCCCCAGTCAAGTTGAGTATTATTTTTTGTTGTAATGTTATATAATATTGAATTTTATCTTTACAACATTTAGTATTTCTGTTTTGCATGGGAAAACTCTTGTTGTTGGTTTTTTTAACACAAAGACTTTTATGCTTGTAGTTGACAATTTTTAATGTGCCCATTTTTCAAATCAGGTGAATTGCTTTTCTGCACAGTGCCATTGCTTTACTCTAGATTTGTGGAAGCCAAAAGTCTTGGAAATTAAAAATAAACACTGACATTTTTTGTCTTCATAATGCATGTTAGAATTTAACTCCAGATTTAAAGGGAACCAACATTGTGATTAATTGTGCAGCCCTAATTGCTGGCACATTGTTTTTGCTGATGTTTTGGTTAGTAGCCACATGACATGTGATTGGTTTTGAAATTTGGTGCAACTTGTCAAGAGTCCTAATTTATGTCCTTTTTTGTTTTGCAGATGGTAAAGAGGGAAAGAATAAGGAAACGACAGCAGTGAGCTCATCTTCATCCTCTAGCAAACCAAAAGTGAAGAATACTAGCAGCATTGCAGGCATCGCTTTGTGCTGGCAAGGTGTCGTTCAGCGACAGGTTAGACATTTATTTTAGATTTGGTGAAATGTAGGATTTAAATGTGGAGCTTTAGTAGGTGAAAGTATAATCAAATTAGTCAAAATACCTGAACAAAATAAAAAATCATTTAGAAATCGGTTAAATTTTCTGCTGAACTTTACACCACCGATTCCATGTGTCCATGTTTCAGTTCATTTAATTAAAAATATGTTGATTGACCATCAATGTGTCTCAGCCTGAAATTAACTGTACTTCCACTTATCAATTACTGTAATTCTGGATTAATTTGTTTGTCTCCTTCCAGGTAAAGAGTTTCCTAGATTCGACATGCAGCCTCCCTGACTTCGTAGAGCTTTACAGGGGTCTGTTCCTCCGGCTAAAGAATGCCATGGAGGAACTTTTTGGCCAGCACACTGCCTTTGTGCTTGCGCTCCGTCAGGGCTTTTCTGCCGCCTTGCTCCAGCTCTCCATCCTGACCGCTATGCATGTGAGTCAACAGGGAATACTTGAGTGAATGTTGTGAAACCTGTCAAGATTATGTCTATGTCATATTGCCCATGTAATCTAATTCATAATTCAAGAACTAATTAGGGTTAGTTTTCGGAACATTAGGATATTTTGAATTGAAATGAGAATTCAAAAGTAATTCTGTTTGTTTATTACAACACTTGAAGGTGAGTGAACGTTTTGCGCAGTACATAGACAAGATGATCCAGGAAAGTGGAGTGGACTCTGGAAATGTGGACACGTTAAACCAGCTCCAGCAGTTCCTGGAGCCCATGCTGTTTCTCTCCGGTCTGGAGCTGGCCAACACCTTTGAGCACTTTTACAGGTATGAGAATGGCTGCTGCTAACTAGGGCTGAGTGATGTTTCATAAACAATGATATAAACGTTTTTCATTTCTATAATTGGTGATATTTGGTTCACTATTTTTCTATTTGTTCTAAAAAGGGGTGATCAACTTAACTGTTTTATCAATGAAATATCATTATTTCTATAAGATTGAAAAGCATGGCACAAGAATTGATTTCTGGGAAAACACTAGCTTTTATTATGGCTCACCCTGTTTTTCACATTGTACATCTCTTCCTCTGTGCTCAGGTACTATATGGGGGATCGGCTATTGGGTCAGGGGAAGGTGTGGTTGGAGAGTGCTGTGGTGGAGCAGATCGGTACCTGCTTCCCAAACCGGTTTCCCCAGCAGATGCTGACCAACCTCAGTGAATCTGAGGAGCTTCAACAGGAGTTTCATCTTTACCGTCTACAGCAGCTGGACAAAAATCTGGAGAACTTTGAGGAGGTGAGAATAATAGAATACAACTTTACAGCTGGTATTGATACATCTCTTTTGTCCTCTTTTGACAACTTTCCTGATTTCTTTGAGAGGAGGGTCTATAGGTAGATATATATATATATATATATATAGTATCTGCTTTGAAACACAGTGTGTTTGTGTTAGAGTCATGACTGGTAAGAGAACATTGTGATTTTAACATTTTTTCACCTTCAAACCAAACTTACAATTTCAGCCGGCAAAGTTTAAACCCCATCTGCCTAGTGTGCTTTAACAACACGTCCCGTAATGTTTTCGAATTAGCTCAGTAGGCGCAGAGTAGTAATTCATTTGTGGCTGCACAAATCTACACGGCACATTTACACTACAAAAGTAATCCGGTTGAATGCATTGTCAACTACCTCTGGAAGTGGTTGAAAGTGTATAAATGCATCATTAAACACTACCCAGTTTTAATTTGTCTTGAAATCTAGTCTTTAATACTGACTGCTCGACTGACTGCTAGAATTTTTTTTGCTGGTCTGTTTGTTCAGACAGTGTGGTCAATATCCATTATTAGGCGTCTAATGATGCGTTTTTATGGTTCGATATATAGAAGACTTTTAAGATTAATTTTTTTGACGCTCACGTGAGCCACATCTGCACACAATGTCCTGAAGAAAAACGATGAAGTATTTGTGCTTTAACAACTTTATTTTTGAAGTTTCTTTTTTAATAATTTTTCTGTATAAATGTAATTTATTATTATTTATTTTTTTTGGTAACTGGAGTTGATGCTTAGTGAAGAAGACAAAGACTTTCTTGACTTGTCATTGCTTATCTCATTGCACAAGCCAATGATGAGCTGTCATAAAATGATATGTTGGACTTTTTTCATTATTTATTTTTCTTTTAATATATACAATTGAAAATTGTATTGTTGTTGTGGATGTCCCAATTGGGATTTTCAATTTAAATGTTCCTATTATATTTAGTTAGCATTTATGAGTTAATAAAAATGTTGCTAGTTGTGTAAAATAAGAGCACAACATCGTAATATTTATATAAATTGATTGCAGGCTCCTATATGTAATCATATCATGGCATATCATGTTTTGAGATTTCTGCAATATTGTATCACTGTCAGATCATATCATATGATTAGGGAGGGAGGGGGCCAGGGCATGGCCGTAATGGAGATAATGAAAATATCTGAAGACTTATGAAAATGAATGTTAAAAATAAAAATATGACATGAAAACCTGTCTATGAAAACATGAACACGTGATTAGAACACTGTTAGATTATGATTATGATGCAGCAATGTTGAATGAATGAATGAGGTGAAGCTGAAGTGTGACTTTATGCCAATGAACTGAAGCCCGTTCTATGACACATCAACGTAACAATACAAATTGTATCTGCACAAAAGGATGCAAATGCCAGTGAATATGCTATAGTGAGAGAGAGCTCCCTCTGTGATGCGCTTTAACAGCGTGCTGAAACACGGGCAAGGATAGCAGACAGAATTTACTATAGATTTCACATTCCATAAAGTTCCCATTATAATGCTATGTTTATGGCAGATTTGTGCTATATTTTCATCTACATTATCAAGTGATTCCTGAAATCGCCTTGCAAGTTTTCAAAGCCATACGAAGTACGAATTTTAATTGAAGTATGCCTACTGTTGAACAAATACGACAAAAAAAGCACTGCTGCATTATTATAACATCGGTATTTAAAAAAAAGAAACATATAAAAGCTAAACATTCAGACTTCTAGAAATCCTTTGTCCTTTTAAATGCTAATGCTGTGCATTTTGTGGTTCGTCATGTTTTTGTGATCAGATGATGGATGAGGACGTGTCTGAACCCGAGGGAGAGAGTGACGTGAAAGTGTTGGTGTTGTCCCCACGCTGCTGGGTTGTGTCGGCTCCCTGCTACCTCGAGGACCCCAGCAAACACTTCCCTGCTCAACTCTGCAATTACCTGGCCGAATTCACAGACTTTTATGCCAATGGTTAGTTGAAATATCCATGATCTCTGGCAATGCAAATAGAGGTCGACCGATATGGGTTTTTCTCTGGCCGATGCCGATATTTAGAAATCAGGTTGTCGATATGTGATGCCGATTTTTTTTATTTTTACCGATATGTTTGTCCGATTTTTCTTTTTTTTTACCGCTTAATCTCATAAAAGAGAGTTTGAGTAAATGTGTAGTAGTAGTAGTAGTAGTAGTAGTAGTAGTAGCCTAAAGACCCGTTCACACCAAGGATGATAACTATAAAGATAACGATAGATATATTTCTAAAAATCGTTCTCAATATTAAAGAAAATAGGAGAGTCCACACCACAGCTATAGCGATAAAGGCACAGAGAAACGATATCATTGGAATCCTTTTCAGAACTATTTTTCCAGCTGATGAACGATACAAACATTGACAGCCAATCAGAATCAATCCTGCTGTAACGAGCTCAAGAATTTAAAGCGGCAGACGAGCGTGCGCTTACAGACGATATCGTCCGCTGGTGTGGACGCTAATATCGTTATCTTTATAGTTATCGTTCTTGGTGTGAACGGGGCTTAATTCATAGTAATAATACATGGCTCAAAACTTAAGCACCTTCTCAAAACAGTTCTGAAGCATGATTTTTATTTATGTTTGCTGACAGACACCAGTGTTTCCCAGACTTGCAAATGCAAATTCTCTGCCAGCAGGAGGTGCTGTTGGAGCGGCAGAAATATAGAGGTTTCCCCGGTAACGGCTGTAATCAAATAAGCGCTACTTTATCAGGCATTACAGGAAAGACGAAATGAAAATGACATCAAAGCTTTTCTGAAGACGGTCGGTTCTTTTCAAAGATACATTCGTATAAAAACACCTGCGCTGCATTTTAATTTTGAAACTTGCAGTGCTCAGTTTATTCAATGAAGTATAAGCCTTTTGGAAAATCTATTTGTGGCGGTCAGTTTTGATGTTGTGACGAGCCGCCACAAATAACTCAATGTATGGGAAACACTGGACACTGCTAGAAATGGCCATAATCGAAGTGATAACAAAAAGAAAAGAGTTCACACATATTACACAGCCCTGCTGCTCATAGCTGCTTAAGTTTTGTCTGAATTGTTTCTACTTTCACAAGCAAATGAGTGGTTGCACTTATGAATATGACAAGCACGGTCTGCATCAATTCTAGTAGGGTAAAACGTAATTACGCTTTCGAAGCGGTCTGTTTTGTCCTGGCATCATTAGCTGAAGCTGTGTGTGTCACACATATTACACAGCCCTGCTGCTCATAGCTGCTTAAGTTTTGTCTGAATTGTTTCTACTTTCACAAGCAAATGAGTGGTTGCACTTATGAATATGACAAGCACGGTCTGCATCAATTCTAGTAGGGTAAAACGTAATTACGCTTTCGAAGTGGTCTGTTTTGTCCTGGCATCATTAGCTGAAGCTGTGTGTGAACACTTAGCTGCCCGCAGATGCGCCTGCCTATAAATCTGCCTAATTTGCAGCACAATTTAATTAATTAAAAAATGCCAAAAATCGGCCGATCAATTGGTGGACCTCTAAATGCAAATGATACAGCCTAGTAAGACCTATTCTCTCTGGCTGTTCTGTTGTAGTTGAAGTTAAACTGCATGTGTGTATCTGTCCTGTAGGTCAGCGCATGTATGGTTTGACCCACAGTAAGCCTCGGCGGCTGCAGTGGACGTGGCTCGGCCACGCAGAGCTTCAGTATGGCTCCTGTACTCTCTGCGTCTCCACACTGCAGATGTACATCCTGCTACAGTTCAACAAACATGAGGTACTATCTGAAGACCAAAACATGTGACGTTTTTATATATCAGAATTGTTCACTTTCTTCCTGTTCTACAGGATGTGAATGTGGAGATGCTGCAGCAGGCCACAGGTCTCTCTCCAGCCATGCTGAGCCATGCCCTCAAGCCTCTCACTGCAGAGAAGGGGATTCTCACTCACACCAGCTCCAGCCAGGACCCCATGAGAGGTGAGAAATCCTCACTACGACAGAACGAGATGACGTCTGTTTTCTTGATGCATTGATTTAAAAAAAAAAAAATCAGTGCATCGAGGAATACAATAGAGGAAGCATTTTAATATACACTAAGTTTGGAATAATTAATCTTTTTTTGTTTTTGAAGGTCTCTTATGCTCACTGTATTCTCAAAAATACTGTAAAACACTAAAGTTGTTAAATATTATTTCAATTTAAAAATATATATTTTCTTTCATTTATATATATATATATATAAAAAAAATTTTGTCATTTTGGCAGCTGATTTGAAACTCAATAAGAAATCTGTAATAATTGGGATTTAAATCAGCATATTAGAATGATTTCTCAAGCATCATGTGACACTGAAGACTGGTAATGATGCTGAAAATTCAGCTTTGCATCACAAGAATAAATTACATTTTGAAATATATTGGAGTAGAAAACTCTTACTTTAAATTCTAAAAATATTTCACAATACAGTTTTACTGCATTTGTCATCAAATAAATGCTGCCTTGGTGAACATAAGAGACTTTCAAAAACATAAAACCTACAAATTATTCCAAACTTCATTAATGTTTTAAGTGTAAATGCATTTAAAAAGTTCAATATCTGAATCACTGGTTTGAATCACTCAGGGTTCAGTGCTTTGAATTCTGAATGTACAAAAAATCAAACTGAAAACCATTTAATTCTGAATTTTTCAGGGGTCCTGAGACTGAACAAGAAGACCCTCTCGCAGAGCTCAGACAGACACGGTTACCATTTCCTGCTTCCCAAGCAGACCTACCTGAATGTGGATGAAGATGCTGCGCTCACACTTGAGAGGAAGAGGAACTATATCTACTGTCTCGTTGTACAGATCATGAAGAATGAGAAGGAGATGCATATTGACAATTTAGTGTTCATGGTAAAGTATGGATTATTTTGCATGGGGCCTATCATCTATCTATCTATCTATCTATATATAATAGAAATAGAAATATATTTCATTTTGAAATGGTTTTTATGACAATTAAGCACATCTCCCAAAATCTAATAATTGTAATACAAAAAGAAAATAATTTTAAATTGTAGTGTTTATGTAATAATTAGGGCTGTCGCTATTCCTTGATTCAATTAGTGTAATCTATTTTTAAAAATCCTTGATTGCATTTTGCCCGTGTCGAGTAACTTGTAAGACAAGACAAGAATCCTATTATAAGAGCATTATAAGACCGTTTTCCAAGGCTGCTTGACATATTAAACCCATTTAAAAAGCATAATAAAGCATAATGCTATTGTGAATTCAGAAATGTTACGATTCGATTAAATAACTATATGCGATGCAGGTTTAAAAATTAAACCCTCTCTCTTTCTGAGTTCTGAGTTTAGACGTTTTGATGTCCACATATTTAAGACATTACAGTGGCTGCAGCATTTCTGTCGTAAAGAAATGACCAAATATTAAAGATTGAGTCAATATTAAACAAAGATTAGATTGCGCAGTAAAGTTTAAAAACAATCGTCAGGCCATTGGCTGCAGGCATTTGTTATAATGCGTAATGTACATTAGATCGGTTGTTTATAATACATTATGTATTTTAACAGTTTTGTTCAATAAAACCATATGATTACTTGCTTTTGATACTTTTATTTGAACTAAATATTATTGCCTCATTACTATTATATATGTATTTTAATAGCTATTGTTTGATAAGGTCTATTTTTATTACCACAAAAAAATTTTTATTATAATTATCCGATTTCTCGATTAATCATCAGATTACTCGATTACCAAAATAACCGTTAGTGACAGCCCTAGTAGTAATACTGCTTTTGATGCTAATTTTTACACTGGAAAAAATGCTGTATGTAAATAAAAAAAGTAATTTTCATGAAATTCAAATCGAATAGTTCTGAAAGTAGACTTTATTGTCTTTATGGGAAATGTGCTTTTGTATGTATGTTATTATGAACAAAAGTGATCATAGAAAAACCAGACGTTACAGAAGATGAGTTTTTGTGCTTTTTGCATGTTTCCTGTGCCGTTGCAGGTGTTGGACCGGTGTCAGAAGCAGGAGTCGAGTCGGACTCGCGCCTCGGTCCGCTTCAGCTGCAGCACTACAGACGTGCTGTCCTGCATCATGCACGTCATCAACAAAGGCTACCTCCGCCGCAACGAGGAAAGCCCACACATCGTGGAGTTCTTGATGGAGGACCCGTCCACACCCCAAAAGGGCCAGGCGCAGTTCTCCTTTAAGATGGACGTGAAAAAAAGCTCCGCAAGCAGCAGCGGCGGCAGCAAAGCCGACACCAGGTGTGCTGATGACCCTTAACCCTTGATCCCTAGACCCCCCGTGCAAGAAAGGAGGCAGAGAGCGTGGCTTTCACCAACGTTTTTCTCTCCTCTCAGGGCTTTTCTTTTTTTTTTCTGAAATGAGACATACACTGATACCGAACAGGTGCACTCATTGGGGCGAGTAGCTTGTCTATCCTTTTGCTTTTTTTGTTGAAAGCGCTTATATTTCCTGTGTGTGCAGCTCTGTTTCAAAACCTAGTGAGTTTCCTACCTAGACAGGCTCCTAGTGCTGTCAAACGATTAATCGCGATTAATCGCATTCAAAACAAACGTTTTTGTTTACATAATATGTGTGCGTACTGTGTATATTTATAAATACACACACACTCATGTATATATTTAAGAAAAATATGTTATGTTTATATATTGAATATATTTATAAATAATATAAATTATATGAATATACATATATGCATGTAAACACATGTAAATATTTTCAAAATATATACATGCATGTGTGTGTATTTATATATGCATAATAAATATACACAGTACGCACACATATATTATGTAAACAAAAGCTTTTATTTTGGATGCGATTAATCACGATTAATCATTTGACAGCACTACGGGCTCCTGATGCTATTATGAAAGATGTTTGTGGGATATGTGGAGTTGCTGCTCATGTAGAGCGTTCCAAATCATTCATCTTAGAAGACCGCTGCCTGTAAACTGGGAAGCAGCTCACTAGGTTTCAGAGCAGAGTCTGTGTTTGGGGCAAATACTGGCAAATGCATTTTCAACGGCACAGGAAGTGTTTGCTGCTTGGGTTTTTTTTTTTTTTTGGATGTGGTTTAACGTCTGCAGTTGTGCTAACTGTGACCTACTCAAGGGCGGAGCTAGTCCATTCCTCATTGGTCAGAATGAATATTGGCATCGGCCAATGGAATGCCTTGTGAGATGCTCTTTTTCTTATGTTGCAAGACTTGTAAATAGCACTAAAGTTTGTGATCATCGGTGGACTGAAATTCAGTCCTGTTATTAAATGAAGGCTGCTCAGTTCCTGTCTGTGCCGTAGTGAAGGGGTTAGTTCCACCCGTAAATTAAAAGTGTTTAATCCCCCTCACGTAGTTCCAAACCCAACGCAAATGAAGGTATTTTTAATATCTTTAGTTTTTTGCCTCAACCTTTTTGTCCATCCATTGAAAGGCTATGCAACCAAAACTTTAATGCATATTTTTAGACATTGTAAAAGTAATTTCTATGAATCGAGTGGTTTAATCCAAGTCTTCTGAAGAGACACAAACTGATTTAATTTTGTCTTTTATTCACATATGAAAAAACACACATACACTTGCTTGACACTAAAACAAATCTCTTTGCAAGCACATTTAAGCTTCCATTTGCCATATATGTGCCATGTTTGTGCATTAATCAATGTTTATATATGAATAAAAGGCTAAATTAAATCTGTTCAGAATAAATCTCTTCATTTGTGTTTTGAAGATGAATAAAAGCCCTTATGGGTTTCGGAACAACATCAGAGTGAGTAAATGACAGAATTTTCATTTTTGGGTGAACTACCGCAGAAAGACTGGGTCTACTGGGAATTTCTTTTGTTTTTTTTTTGTCCACTTTTTAAAAATCTAATACTTATGCTTCTTCAGTACAGAATTTTAGCATAAATATGCTAGATATTTTGAAACAAGGCAACTTATGTTTACCACTTAAAAAAAATAAAGACATTTTACATTTTGAATCATGTTTGTTGCTCATTTATTCTATTTAAAGGTCTATTTAAATTCTATTTAAGGTGATACGTTTTTCAAAATTAACAAATTATATTTTAATCAATGCAAAGGGATAATTATATTATTGCCTTATTAAAAGTGGTGCATATTAGGGTGTTCATTTTTATATTTGACCAGAATAAAATCAATAAATGTGGCTTTTTTTTTTTTTATGGCTTTTATATGGTAATACATCTTGAGCAAGTCCACATGGGAAGAGCACTGCAGAGTTTCACACAATTAGAAGATTAGAAGAAGATTTTTTTTTTTTGTTGTTGTTGGTTTATTAAATATTTTGGCTACTTTGATTATTCTTCCAGCTACCAATGAAAGTATAGTATTGAATTTTACCATGTTTAAATACGTGAATCCCAAATAAACGGCACTGCGAATGTGGAAAAGTCTGCAGATTCAAAGTCAGTGATTTCCCGTTCCACATCCACATAATGACGTTTTGTGTGTATATATCTCCCTCTGCAGCCTGGGAGGCCTAATAGTTCCCCTGCAGCATCCGGAGGACGGCGTGCTGGAGGCCGTGCTGTTCTCCATGGGTCGCACAATGACTCAGGAGGAGGTCAAGCAGCTGATGCAGCGCACCGTCCAGCAGGTGGCGGGAACCCTGAGCCTGGATCTGGACCGGGCCGAGCACCTGCTCATGCACTGCAAATGGAATGTGGACTTGTTGATCCAGCGGTACACAGACGACCCAGACGCCTTGGTCCTGGCTGCCGGCCTCAAGATCCGCAACCCCCAGCCGGCCCCAGGCCCCGTGGCCCAGTGTCCAGTGTGCCTTTCCCAGTCCAAAGAGAGTGACCCCCCTCCCATGCTCTGCTGCATGCACTACTGCTGCAGGGTGAGTGCAGGGCTAAAACCTTTCAGAGTTAAACACTGGGTTGATGTGTTTCCTGTGGAAACGGCACATTTAGATGGGGTATATTAAAGGGCTATTAAATACAGTACTGTTCAAAAGTTTGGGGTCAGTAAAGAATTGTTGGTCCCACTTTATATTAGATGGCTTTAGCTACTACGTGCTTGCTTCCAAAATAATTAATTGTTTGCTACAATGTACTCATTCTGATTATGTTGTATTGCAGATCTCTTTTGCTTATATTGAAGTGGGATAAGTGTAAGGTTAGGGGCAAATTTGGTGCTATGATTGAGTTTAAAGGTGGTTATGGGATAGGGGTAATTATGTAGTTATAGATGTAACTACTGAAATTAATTACAGATGTAATTAAAGGAAATATATATATTTTTACATGCAAGTATATTGTGAAGACATGTATGTCCACATTAAGTGCATTGTTTTAAATGTGATTTATATTAAGTGAAAGTACATAGTATTTTTTTTTTTTTTTAAGATATTACCTTTTATTCGGCAAGGATGCATTAAACTGATCAAATGTGACAGTAAACACATTTACATTCATATTTCAAATATTCAGAGAATCCTGAAAAAAAAAATGTATAACTTATTCCACAAAAATATGAAGCAGCACAACTGTTTTCAACAATAATACTAAGAAATGTTTCTTGTGACATTGATTAGAGTAATTGCTGTTGAAAATTCAGCTTTGTGATCACAGGAATATATTTTATAGAATTTATTTTAAGAATAAGTTTTTAAATATATTAAAATAGAAAACGGTTATTTTAAATTCTATAGTTTCACAATATTATTGTTTTACTGTATTTTACTGTAAATAAATGTAGCTTTGGTGAACATGAGAGACTCAAAAAAAACAAAAAAAACTTTTGAATGGTACTGTAAATCAGTTAAAAAATAAAATAAAATAAAAAAGCCAGTCCCTAATTAATGTAAAGCTATGATGCATGACATTTTAGATACATTTTTATTTTGTTTAGTACACGAGGATCAAAAATATTTGTACTCCGTTTTTGTGGAAGAGAAAGTGTATTTTATATGTGCTCAAACTTAATTTTGTCAAGTTCTGTTATTATTTGTCGCATTTTATTATATAGATGGCTGGCAGCTAAAAGACGGTAAAAGCAGCTATTAGTGTAGGGTCGCAAAGAATCAGAGCCGATTATAATTAAGTGCAGATAAAAAATCGGTTAAGATATGCTTTTTATAAATAATGTCGCAAATACCAGTAAATTGACCTTAGTAAATCACCTTTCATGATTCATTTAAATACTCTCTTACCGTAAATGTTACGTCTGAAAGAGAATCTCCTACAAATGCATATGCAATAATGTCAGCCTCAAAAATGCCTTTTCATTGCTCATTTTTTACTGCGTGTCTTGAATAAATCCAGACCGTAGTTTTAGAACTCAATAAGAGGGTGTGTGCTGTTGCAAGCTGTTAGTAAATCTGGCCCTATATGAAATCTTGTTAAAGTTATGTTAAACTGTGTGCTTTTGTCATTTCTGTTTCCCATTAGTCCTGCTGGCAGGAATACCTCACTGCTCGTATCGAACAGAATCTGGTGATGAACTGCGACTGTCCGATCACAGACTGTCGGGCTCAGCCCACCTCCAAGTTCTTTCACAACATCCTCACCGATAAGGACACAATTGCCAAAGTATGCGCAGGTCAGCACACACACTCGGTGTGTTGGGGGACCGGAGAATGAGTTTGTATCCTGTGCTTTCTCCTGCAGTATGACAGCGCCCTTCTGCGAGGCTTCGTGGAGTGCTGCTCCAACCTGACCTGGTGTACCAACCCTCAGGGCTGCGACCAGATCCTGTGCAAGGAGAACATCGGTAGCGTGGGCACCTGCTCCAAGTGCTGCTGGTCTTCCTGTTTCAGCTGTAACTTCCCAGAGGTAAATTCAGCTCATCTTAGCGCTAAAACCATCAAAGAATAGCTGCTATATAGAAACCTGTTGAGAATATGTGCAGGTTATATTTCATCTAGTGGTCGACCGATATATCGCCACGGCCGATATCTGCCATTTTTTCAAATATCGGCCGATAAGTTTTTCTGTTTGGCCGATGTGTTAGAGACTTTTATTTTGACGGCGCAGAGAACGGCTGCGGCAGCGCCTGAGCAAACAGTGTTCACATTCTCCCTCTTGTTCGCTGTTGTCATTCAGTTCTGTCTAATACGGATAGAAGTCTGTCTAATAATCAGATAGAACTGTTAAACAAAGGAATTAAAATGTATACAAAAGTATTATAACGATTGCTTTAATATTAAAGGCAAACATTATAATACTTTCTCGTTTGCCGTCAGCATTCCGCAAATACGCATTTATATAATTTAAACAAATCTTTGAATGACTAATGAACATTTAATTTCACAAACCTTGCAGACTTAGTCGGATCCAGTTGAGATCTTGTGAAGTGTGCATGTGACCTGCTTGATCGCGTATTGTTCTGTGACGGTCGGTCCTATGGTCCGTGCGAATTGAATACGGACAGGAGGAGAGTTCAGCTTCACTGGAGATGCGCGATCGACAAACTTTAAACTTATGACTGATTTCGAATTATGCTGCGCTTTATGCATTTGCCCACTGTCATATTCATGTCATTTTCACTGTGTGCTGGATTGAAAATGAGTGTTACCTTGGCTTTATTTGAAAAAAGTATGATTCCCAATGCACACAAACTTCCCAGAATACCGAGTGCCCTGTTGGTTACAGTGTTTACTTCCTTTTCAATTAGATTTTTATTAAATATTTAT